ATTTTAAAATTAATCACGATTTACACGTTCAAACACTCAACAAACGGCTTCAACACGACTTCAACATGGCATGATTTCCGGTAGCTTCACTATCGAGGCAATCCGTCGGGAACACGAAGGTGACGTCATTTTCGGGATGTCGTTTTGAGTCTCGCGAAATAGCCTCTACCGTTTGAAGATGGCGCGAAGAATAACACCTGAAATGACTTATGGGTAAAAAAGAGAAACGACACGGAGAAACACTGGGCTCTAGTCGTCTAGCAAAATAAATTATATATAAATTAAAAGAAAATTTATAAAAAAAAAATTAAAGAAGAAGAAATTAGGTTGGAGAACAGAATTTAAAGGTTTTTATGTTTATTTAATAAGTAAAATAAAATGATATACTTAAAAAAATTAGATTTAAATTATTGGAGTAGAAGAATGATATAAAAGAATTATCAAAAAATAAAGCAAAGGAAAAGAAGAAATGAATTACAAAAAGAAGGGGAGAAAAAGAGAAAAAGCTTAAAAGACTTTGAAATTGCGAAAGTGGAAAAAATGCGTAAGGTTGCATTGTRGGTAAAAATATCGAGGTATCGGGGAAAAGCCTGGGTACCAGTAGCAATTTAGCCAATCAGAAGTGAGTATTTGGTGGGCAGCCATTTTGTCTTGTGATCTTTCTGTACGAGGCGTACAACATCAATGCCGAAATCTTAACTTTACACCACAATTTCACGCCTTCAAAATGTCTTACAACGACGAAAAGCCGTCCAGAGAAACCGACATCCCTGAGACATCCATTGGTGGCCTTTTCTCGGTTGATTTTAAGAGGTAAGGACATTTTTTACGCGATTGAAATATGGGTCATCCGAGGTTGCCGGTCACGAGACGTGGTAGTTACACTCGAAGGAATTATTTTTTTGTATTTTATATTATTCTTGTTTGAAATCACAGGCATGATGATTTGAAGTCAATGTTGGATAGCTCAAAGGATAATCTCAAGCTTGATGCTATGAAAAGAATAATATCTGTAAGCAAGAGATCGTAAAATTGATAAATAGAACAATAATTTACATGTACACAGCTGATCTATCTCTATATCAACACCTCTCGTGTTTGATGTCCTATCGTAAACGTGGCGAAATATTATTGTTTAACTAGAAAACCGAAAGTATTCCTAATTATTATTTGTATTAAACAGTCGATGGCTACTGGTAAGGACATGTCGGAGCTTTTTCCACCGGTCGTCAAGAATGTAGCATCAAAAAATGTGGAGGTGAGTTCTATAAGCTAATATGAGAAATTAAATCTCAGAAATATAAATTAAGGTTAATATGGTTCGTTCCAGGAAGTATATTGATGTGTCTGTTCTATTAGTTTGAAGTAAGTTTTTGTTATTGTGTCATAATTGACATTATTGTCTAGGAATTTAGCTGATGTACTTGAGTTTTAGGTCATTTCAGCAGGTTCTATTGTTATATGTCCTAAAGTAGTTCTAAGCATATAATTTTTCTTACAAAGTGAAAGTTTCTAATGCCTTTTCCTTTGGGCTATGAAGCTTATTTTTTGTTATGGTGTGAAAGATTTTAATGACATATCTTCAAGTGTACATATGTGTTACATATACTTCTTAACAAAAATACTCAAGTAAATCCCACATGGCTGTAATATTAATATTAATATGATGATGATGATGATGATGATGATGACAACAATATCCTTTTGTCAATGAATATCTTTCATATTTTTTATTCATTTTTTAAATTTTTACATGCAATCAATATCCAGATTCATTTTTTTGAATTATTAAAAAAAATAATGAAAGCCTTGATTGCCTAATTATGACAGCTATTTCATCAATCATCTTAGGCCCCGTCCACACTATGTCGGATAAATTTGAATCCGAATTTTTATTTATTTGGTTAGGCCTACCGTCCACACTAGTCCAGGCGAATCCGGAACAATTCTTCACCGAAAACGAATTTTCGAAATGGAAACRAATAAATAAAAGTTCGGATTCAAATTTATGCAGCATAGTGTGGACGGGGCCTTAGACAAGGCACTTTTGCAGATCATACTGTGCTCAAGATGAGGCTAAAAAGAAGTGTGGCTTTCCCCTACATCTTCTGGCCTCTCCTCAATCACTTCTAAAGTTATTAGAATGCTAACTAGTGCCCTTAATCTACTCTTTTATTAAGCACCTATTTCTGGTGAATATGTTTCAATATTGTAATGTTTTTTATTTACAGCTCAAGAAACTGGTTTATGTGTATCTGGTGAGATATGCTGAAGAACAGCAAGACCTGGCTCTGCTTTCCATCAGTACTTTTCAAAGAGCACTCAAGGTAATACGTTATGGAGATAGAATAATTCCTATTTTATGTGGTCATGTCCTAAAAATCTTGAAATTGCAGTCAGGAGTCATTTTTTAAATTATTTTTACTTGTTTTCTCTGACTTTTTAAATGTTTACACCTAGACGTTTTGATCCCTGACCACAGATCTTCTTGAGTATAACAATGTTTACACATGCACAAGATTTTAAAATAGCTAGCTCACACTGTTTGTTCTCACCAGGGCCCGGTTGTACGAAGCCTAGAGAGCGCTATCACATGGATAAATCTTATCCAAAGATAAATTTATTTGATAACACCATAGACTTATCTACTGGATAAGGAATTATCTGCCGGATAACGCTATTCAGGCTTCGTACGACCGGGCCCAGCATTCTATATATTTACAATTATATATTTCATGTTCATACAAGTATATATTTCATGTTCATAACAGCATCGACTTATCCACTGGATAAGGATTTATCGGCCGGATAGCGCTATTCAGGCTTCGTACGACTGGGCCCAGCATTCTATATATTTACAAGTATTTATTTCTTGTTCATTACAATTCTTTATTATACCTTGTTACTCATACTGGATACATGTATCTTTCATAGGATCCAAATCAGCTGATCCGTGGTAGTGCACTTAGAGTGTTATCCAGTATCAGGGTCCCTGTTATTGCACCTATTCTTATGCTGTCAATCAAAGAGGTGGGGAATTTTTTTTTCTTATTCTGATGTATTTTATTATTATTTGTTATTATTCTTTAGTCACAGTTCTCCTAACAAACTTCTCTTGTTTTCTGCAAATCCTCATGTGCATTGCACATAGCCTTCATCACCATGAGCATATTTTTATTTTATTTCTTCATTATAAATGTATCACTGATGAACTAATGGTCCTATTTTAACAGGGTGTGGTTGATATGTCACCTTATGTGAGGAAAACAGCGGCTCATGCTATTCCTAAGCTCTACAGGTATACTTTAATCTAGTGCAAAGTATTTTGCTAGTGCTTCTCATACTATCAAATATTATTGATGTAATAAAAAAAAATCACTTTATTTAAGTGTCTACTTGTTCTAGCGCTTTCGCACTAATTGGGGACACTCACATGTTGATTTTTACGGAGGGAGAAAACCGGACAACCCAGAGAAAACCCTCATAGCATAGGAGAGAACAACACATCAAACAAACTCAATTCACATGTGGCGACCGCAGGGCTCGAACCAGTGACCCAACCCTTTGGACTCACAGAGGTGAAAGACGACGCATTAGCCGCGAACGCCAGCCATGCTACCCTAAAATAAAATGATCTCTAGGCTTATGTATGGCTAACTTATAGAGTTTAGAGTGTTGGGTTATGTGAATGCAGGAAAACTGTGTGAAAAGCCCTCAAATCAAGGGAAGATACATGCCCTAGCAAACTTAAATCACATGTGATGCCCATTTCAGGTATCAAACATCAGACCCCAGCACTGTGGCTGTTACTTTTGTGCAAAAACATTAATTTATGCAGACTGAATGGAATGGAATGAACAGAAACATTTGTGCAGAAATATCAATTTAACAAGCACACAAGGGAGAGTTCTAAGTGGACCATAGGGGAATAGTATGATACTAAAATGGCTGCAAGGGAGACTAAAGTAATTAGCATTTCTCAATTCTCTAATTTTTTTCTTGAAACCAATTTTTGTTTTCAGTTTGGACCCTGAACACAAAGACTGCCTCATTGAAGTTATTGAAAAACTGCTGAAAGACAAGACCACTGTAAGCCATTAGCATGTAAAATAACCATCATGATAATATAAGTTATAATAGTTTAGCCACCCTATTTCAATACCATTATTTATTGCTGAATGAAACTAGAATGGCAAACAAAATGAAACTTTTTTGAGATGAATATACGACAGACTGCTCTTATGACAACCTTAAAAATGTCTGACGAATTTCATCAATAGAATGTTTGATGAATTTCTAAGTTCATTTAATTGGTTTAGCAACTCACTCATAATTTTCCACTTATTTGAAATGACACATACACCGAATCGAAATAAGGCAACCAATTTGAATAACTATTGTTGCACACAGACTAGCGACTGACTAGCCTCTCATACACTTATGTGATTCAAATGATTTTATGTTTCCTCATGAACACAAGGCTAGTCAGTTGCTAGTAAGTGCAGAACAATAATATTCAAATCGGTTGCCATATTTTGACGATTCGGTGTATAGAAAAGTAGGATTTTTTTGAAAAGTGAATGCATGAAATTTAGTGACATTATTTGTCATATTACCATATTTAATTATCTATATTTGCAGCTTGTTGCTGGTAGTGCTGTCATGGCATTTGAGGAGGTGTGTCCAGAAAGAATTGACCTGATCCATAAAAACTTCCGCAAACTCTGCAACCTTCTGATTGACATTGATGAATGGGGTCAGGTTGCTGTAATTCACATGCTAACAAGATATGCTCGTACGCAGTTTCTGGATCCTAACAAGGAGGTAAGTATCATTATGTGTTCAGTAAAATTATGTAAATATTAAGTAAATATTTCAAGACCTGGGTTTCTAAAAAAATGGCCAGATATCAAACAATGACTGGCCAGAACGGGGACTTGCCTTACTGGACATTTTGTCCAGTTACATTATCAAAGTCACATATCAGCACGTGACTGTTTGTTGCAAAAGGCCTATTAGACGTGATCATGACCAGCAACTAATCGGCCATTATGTGAAGTGCTGAATACCAGATTCCAGTCAAAGGACATGGGCTGCATTATTCAGTCCATTATTGGATTGTTTCATTCTTCTTTTAATCAAAATTAAATTTAACATTTATTGACTTATAACAAACATGTTTTTCTTTTTATTATTATTTATTATTTATTTATGTTTAACAGTTGGTGATGGCATGTTGGAATTTAGTTGAGCTGATATTTGATTGGCTAATTTTGCTCCATTTTGACAGTTCATCATTTTTTTTTTATTGTCAAACATGCCATAGAGTTCAAGACTTGAATTTATTTTTGAGTATTATATGTACGTTTACCTTAATGGAAGATGAACAGGAAGAGTGAATTGAAAAATTCAATGAACTGAATAATGCAGTCTAGAGGGACACTCTTTGTGTCATTTGACTGTAAATTGCAGGACAAAAAATAATTTTAGTTCTCATGAAAGTAAGAGTTGTTTGCGGTTTTTTTTTTTGACATCCAAATCGAACTGCTCTGAGAATTAATCTGTGCAAGGGGTCTATAAGACAATAGTGTATGTATGGTGTGTATCTTAGTATATTACTATCTGCAAAGTATTTGTAAAACTCTATGCATAATTATAGGAAAAGGTGACTGTGGGAGAACAGCCATTTTATGAAAAGTCGGAAAGCAGTAATGATGATGATGATGATGATGATGACAAAAAAGAAGAAAAGGAAAAGAAGAAAATTTATATCATGGATGCAGATCACAGACTGTTGTTACGAACCTGTAAACCCATGCTGCAAAGCCGCAATGCCTCTGTAAGTATACTAGACATTTTCAAGGTCATGGTGTTAATAATTATGACGATAGTGATGAGGATGACGATCACAAGGATGATGATGATTGTGTTCTTGATGATCATAACAGTGAAAAAAAATGTTGATGTGGTGATGGTGATCATGATGGTAGTGATCAATGAGATGATGGTGATGTGAAGGATAAAGACAATGATGTTGATGATAATGTTGACAATCATGTTGATAATGATGATTATGTTAATGTTGTCAACAATGATGATAATATTGAGGATAATAATGATGGTGATGATGATGATAATGATATTGTTTATGGTGATGATAATGTTGATGATTATGATAATTTTGATGATGATAATAATGGTAATGTTGATGATGATGATGGTAGTGATGACATTTCCCTTTCAGAAAACCATACCTAGAAAACATTTTATCTGGCAACACTAACAGCAAAAAATCTTTATGTTTCAGGTTGTTGTGGCCGTAGCGAGAATGTATCATCATTGTGCTCCTTCTGGTGAAGTTACCATTGTCGCTAGGGCTTTAGTTAGAATCTTGAGAAGTTACAGGTATGTGGTATATATAGTAGTAATAGATTTTATTCCATAGTTCCTGCAGACACATGAATTTAGTTATATTGATGTGTTGTTCTTTCCTTCCATGGGGGTTTTTGCCAAAGGGGTTTTTCTCACCGTTTTCCCTCCCACCACAAAAGTTGATACTTATGTCACAAGTAAAATTGTTAAGGCCAAACAAAAATATAAGTGTGTTTCCTTTTGCACTAGAAAAATAATTGGGGTTGGTAGGTCAGATTTTTTTTACTGATACAACAGTGGAAATGAGCTTACTGGGAAGCCTGTGGTGCATTTGGGAATGAAAATAATATTAGGGTCGTCAAAAATTGGCAAGAAAATTAGTGTTGGTCATGCGACAGGAAACACACTTACTTTTTTGTTTGGCCTAATATATACTGTAAGTTTATGATTGTGCGCAAGTAGCAGTGAGTGTGGAGTGCGGTACTTCAGCATTAGCCTTTTTTTTTTGCCATTTCAGACCACATGTCATTCTTTAGGAATAATATTATTTGTTTGAGTTTTATCCATATTCATTTGTCTTCTCATGCACAACCATTAAACAAAGAAATGATGCCCTAAGGAATGAATGACATATGGTCTGAAATGGGAAAACATTACATCCATGCAAAAAAGGTCTATTGCACCGACCAGACATGTACATGTATTTCACAGGACTCAGACAAAAAAAAAAGACAGCTTTCCACATACTGCACGGCTCTCTGGAAGAGCATTATTTAATGAAGGGATTCCGTGTTTAAATAAATTTACCATACCATTCTGAATAGCAAGGCACTGTAATGTCTAGTTGTTCAAGTGTTATTTTTAAGTGGCTACTTTTGGTCTACTTATTTAAATAACCACCTAAGTCTTATATTCTTATTTTTCTTCAGAGAAGTACAGACTATTGTTCTCAGTAATATCGCAACAATGTCATCCTCAAGAAAGGTATCAATTAAGAAAGTTATTTTAAAATATTTATGTGCATTACTGTATTCACCACCACTGTGTAGTATACAGAATTGTTGGGTCACTCAGGTAATTGTGTCTGTCTGTCTTGGTACCTTGTTGGGCGGTATTGGACATTTCTGAAAGAATAAAGTTGCTCACAGAAATCAAACATTTTTGGGGCCATCATGTTGTCTTTCACATCATCTTAATTGCTTCAGCAAGTTCCAACATTGCTCAACAAAAGTTATTGTGTGGTATACTGTAGTTTGTTAGCTTGTTTGTTGTTGTTGTTGTGGTGGTGGTGGTTGACAAATAACAGGCAGAGTTTTAATCAAAGGTTTTCTATTTGTAGGGATTATTTGAACCATATCTGAAGAGCTTTTTTGTTCATGCCAATGATCCAACACACATCCGTCTACTCAAGGTAAGACAGAAAAAAAGTCAGATTCTCGTCTTTAAAAGAATTTAAAATGTCTCATTTTTTGTCAAAGAAGCAAGGGTGGTGTGCCCACTAATGCACTGCATCTCACTAATGTGACCCAGGTTCAAATCCTGGATTCAGTATCACCTGTAGCTAGAGTTGCATGTCAGTTCTCTCCTGTTCTCTTGAGCTCTCCCTCTTCACTTGTACATTCTAATTATTATTAATTATTCTAATTATTGACCTTTGAGCTTTCATTTACTTGGAGCCTGGATCTGTTGTTATTTTCGGACCCTGCTGTGGTACAACAGCAAAAGCTTAAGATTATAGATTATAGATTATTGGATTTTGAAATTGTTGCTGGATGTATTTATACAAATTTCACAATGATTATTAATTCATTAATGCATGCATCTATGGATATGATTTTAGCAGATTGAGGTAGTGGTTCACAATAGCAAACACATCTGAAAAGTTATTTTGTTTTCCAGCTTGAAATCCTTACAAATATTGCTGGAGAGACAAGCATAGGAACAATTTTAAGGGAATTCCAGGTAGGCGCAACAAGGTTATTTGAAATATTCATGGTTGTACGTAAATAAATGGGACTGTTAGACGTAAATGTAAGACGAAGGTTACTGTGCTATGTGACACACTGTGAACACTTCCATAAGTTTTTCATTTCTTTTTGACATTTGAATTGTGTGCTCTACCAGCGTTCTAAATTAAATTCCTATTTTTTACTCAGAGCTACATTTCAAGCTCAGACAAGCAGTTTGTAGCATCTACTATTCAAGCCATTGGTCGATGTGCATCTAATATACCTGAAGTAACAGAGACATGCTTAGCAGGGCTGGTGAGACTCTTATCAAACAGAGATGGTATGTAAAAATCAACATACATTAATTTCTATAGAATCTCTAATAGTGCTTTGCGACAACTGGCTTAATCTGATAGAGTTACTAAAGCTACATATTTCTCGCTTTAACATTTCCAAAACTTCCTCATAGTGTGCATTGACCCACAACAAAACTCGAAGAAGTACTGAAACTGTCGACCATATGTTGGCCGAACAACGCTCAACACATGGCCGATGGTTGGCTAATATACGGCCATCACACAGCCGATAGTCAGCCAACTCTTGGTCAACACACAGTCGATAGTCGGGCGACTGTTGACCAACAGCCGGGCAATTGTCGACCCACACATATTGGCTGGTCATGAAGTACACAATTACCATCCAAAATATCTGCATTCTATATAAATAATTATTGTTCTATGAGTTAGGGAAGACTAGCAATTACATCAAGAAAGTAACATCTAACTAAAGTTCTATTACACATGATGATTTTATTTTACAGAAGTGGTGGTCGCTGAGAGTGTYGTGGTCATAAAGAAACTCCTTCAACTTAAGGTTAGCAGAAAAAACATTAAGATTATTTAAATACAAATTTGAATATCCCCTTTATTAGGTGACTCGTAAGAGGAGCAAAGACTCTGCAGTACAGTTATATAAAATACATATGGCCATCATTGCATGGTCAAATTGGAGTAAGGTCTAAGTGGCATACAGTGCACAATAAACTATTTATTATATTGTTTTATTCCAGCCAAAAGGAATTTCAGACATTATTGAGCATATGGCAAGATTATTGGATTCCATCACTGTAAGTCATTAACTACCTATTCATTGGTTCGTTCATTGGTCTGTTTGTATGTTTCTTCATTCGTATGTTCCTTTGTTCCTTTGTTCATTTGTTTGTTTGTTTGTTTGTTCATTGGTTTGTTCATTTATTCATTTCTTCATTTCTAGAAGATACAAAAGGGGAAAAAATTTTTTCCCCATTTCAAGGCACTTATCATTCCCTAGTGAATAAGATTCTTTGTTTAAGTTGTATCCATATTCATTTGTCCACTCATCCACAACTGTTACTCAAAGAAGTGATACTCTAGTGAATGACACATGACATTAAATGGGAAAAACATTACATCTGAGCCAAGGAGGTCTATATTTATTTTATTATTATGTTACTAGGCTTTTTGAGAGTTGCTATTCATAATTGATCATTAATACAAATCTCACCAGGTTCCCATGGCAAGGGCTAGTATTCTGTGGTTGTTGGGAGAATATGCAGAGAAAGTCCCTAAAATTGCACCTGATGTGCTAAGAAAATCTGCCAAGTCATTCAGTGCCGAAGTAAGTTGTGGCGTTGTCAGTATTTATCCTACGCCATTGAAAACACAGCCAATCAGGATGTAGGAAAGCCATTGTATATTTGTTGGTATTTCACCCTTCCTTCTCATCATGCACTGTGCTTTTATATATTTTATATCGTGTGGGATAAAGTAGAGCACAAAAGAGGCAAGTTTAGGAGGCGAATTTTAACAGTGTTTATCTTGCTTTTCAAGCAATAAGCAGCAATTTCCTATTGCTTCTATGAAATATTTTGGGATGATTTTGCACAAGGATTTCTCTGTCCTTTGATATAAACACCATAGCCAGCAAATAATTTCACACTAATAATTATTAGTGTGCTTGTTTTATCTCGAATATTTTGTCCAGATAATCAGCATGTGTGTTATATTTCAAATATTTTATAATCCAGGGTAAGCCACTCACAACCATTGAATTAGAAGTATATGTACAGTCATATATATCATGTTCTATACTATGTCTATTGAAAGCATTAGTTTTTATTTTTAGTTCAGTGTTAGTAATATTTCATTCCTTTTTTCCCCAACCAGGAAGACATAGTCAAGTTACAAATTCTAAGTTTGGGAACCAAGCTCTCAATCACCAACCCTAAACAGGTACAAGAAAATACAACATATTTTTATGAGTAAATTCAACAAGAATGTTTTAGGCTGCATTCATAATGTATGGTAGAAGGGGGGGCAGGTGAAATTTAGGGGGATCGGGAAAATTTTGGTAGGAAAAAGGGGGGATGGGCCAATTTTTATCAGAGAAATGGGGGGGGG